AAAATGAAAAAAGTGTGGTGTTTTTTTTTTTTTTTTTTTTTTTTTTAATCTTGTTAAACCTGATAAAAGTAGCCTCATCAGTAATTTTGACTCCACTGTTTCAAGTTTATGAACTATATGTGTACACACTCATTTATGATATGGTATTATATGATATGTACTCAGTTACTGGTCATGTAGATGTATTTTACTTCCAGAGTGAATTGGATAAATAAAAAACAAAAGTTGGTTAAGTAAAAAAGGTATCTAATGTAAATAGATGTCTGCTGGTGTTAGGACATCTTTGCCATTTTAGTTACTCTCTAACTAGAAAGAGACCTACTATTCTGTGCTGTGGAACAGTATCTACTCGCTTAAAGCGATTTTTTTTGTCTCACAGTTTAGTTTGACCAAACTTTACTACAAAGTGTGCAGTTTCTCTACAGTACATCAGGGTGTAAAAGGCGTTGAAGATGGAACAGAATAGCAAATGTATACTGCGTGATGATTTCCTCTTCAGAGACTGAATAAGGAGAAATCCTTGTCTAATGTTGGGGGAAAAAGTTGCTGACGTTAGAATGATTGCATGAAATGTATGAATGAACTAGACAAACACGGTGCCAAGGACCTGCAGTTCTTCGTTTGCCAGGGCCAGACGGTGTTGCTCTATGTTTTGAGAATGTGGCCAACCAGTCTGTGTGAAAAATGAAGGGCAGAGGAAAAAGAAAAAAACCCCCCAAACCCAAGGCAGGGATGCCCGGAGTGTTTCCCTTCCTTTCCCTCCCTCCGGGGCCGGCGGGAGCGGCGGGCGCGGGGCTGCGGGGCGGTTGCTGTCCAAGGTGCTGGACGGGCGGCGCCTGGGCCGGCGAGAGGCCGATCTGCTCCGCCCGGCCCCGCTCTCGGCCCCTCTGGGAGCCCCTGGAGCCTTTGGATTCACTCAGGTGGCCGAGAAGGACAAGCATGTCGCGGGCTGGGAGCGGTGTGTGGTGGTGTGCTTGGACGTGATCTACTCTGGTCCACTTTTACAGGTGAAACTAGAAGCTCCTAGTGGGTACTTGGTGACAATTGCAATATTCTGCTGGACTTTCTGGTGTTTTATACGTGTTTCATTTATAACAGTCATTCAGGAAGTAGGTTTGTTTTGGTGTTGTTTTTTTTTTTTTGTGTAAGGAAATACTAATTTTTTGAGCATTGCCCATCTAGATAATTGTTAGCTCAAGAATCATAACAGGAACTATCTAATGCTGCATTTTAGTTTCACACCATTTGATTGGTTTATGTGGTGAGTTGCTTTTTGTTTTCTTTTAAACAAATGCTAAAAATACTGACTTTAAGCAATAATCATGAGATAAAGCACTGGCTTAATACAATGAAAGGCTTGCTAAATAATCTACCTCTATTTAAGACATCTTTAGTATTCCGAGAGGGCTGCTTCATTCACAGAAAAGAGAGCTTTGCATCCACTTGACCAGTTACAGCTGATGACAAAATCAATACAACTTACACTGAATAACAATCAGCATAAAACTTGCAATTACATATGACTTCCCCCTTCCCCAACTCTCCACACCACCATCCTCCACCCACAACACTGTAATTCCTCAGAGTAAAGAGTGAAAATATTGGAGTTTTCTCAGTCCAGTGAGGTATGCCTTTCAAGAAAGTACTATAACAAACAGTACATAGTGAGATACTTTTGATGTCTGAGTCTAAACCTCACTCCTTTTTTCTGAAACTGGAAGAAAATGAACCTTGTATTCCATTTTCAACTGCATGTCTCCTTGTCTCTGAAGAATATGTTCGATACATTGCTTTGTTTTGTAAGGTTGGCAGTCAGGAGTCGTATGGGTTGTCAGTTCATATTTAGTTATTCCACATGGTGAGTTTTGGTTTTGGTTTTAACATCTAAGTATACTTGCTCCTTTTTTTTTTTTTTTTTTTTTTTAAGAGTGTGCTCCTGTAGTTAAGGTCTTACTATTAAACTTCTTACTGAGCTATGTCAGGATTTTTGAAAATTTTGTAGAAAATGCTGAGAATTTTGAACTTTAGAACATTTGGAAAATCAGTATTTAGTTTTGATAGTATCAATGAACATGTGTATACTTTTTATATTGTTCCTATATCAGCAGACTTTTTATGTCGTTTAGAAGTTCTTAATATCAGTGTTACCTCACTATAAATCCATCTTCAATTTACTTCTTGTAAAAAATATCCTTGGAGTCTGATGACTTTATATATTGTTTTCTTGTCTTGGTAGTCACATATCAGGAGTGGCTAAACAATAAATGTAAGAAAGAGAAATAATTTAAAATGCATATTAAATAAGGTGATGTGAGTAAATTACTGTAGCTTTATTGAATCACTAAAGTAACAGAGTAGCTGAGAATCTGTATCTATATGGCTGTTTTCCTGTAAATTTAATTTAGATTTTAAAAAATTTTTTATGAAGTCTTGCTTTTGCAAAAATTATAAAGTAGTCCTTATATTTACAGAGGTTGTTCCTGGAAGTATCCATAGTTTCTTGATTTCCAGAATGTCCTTTTTATACACAGTGTGAGGCAGGACTGTACTCAAACAATTAACAAAGGACTGTTTTGGCTTGATGTTGGAAGACACAGTTCCTCATAATGACTTGTCAGCTTTCTATCAGGGGAAATACTAACGTACTTTTTCTTAAGACAGCAGGCAATAGCTCTGTGGATTAAAAGAAAATTCTGGCTTCTTCTGGTTGAGAACTGGGTCAAATAACTAAGTAGGACATACAAACGTAAATGTTTTTGATTTTTTAATTTTTTTTTTTAGAGATAGGACTTACGTCTTTGGAAAAAGTATCAGAGGCCAAGACTTTGTTAGTAGATGTTATTAATGTTTGAACAGAATATCAGGTAGCATTTAATCACATAGGATTCTTTTACCCACTGAATTTCAGAGTTTAAAATGTGACCTTCCTTAGTGCTAGTTGAAGTGTGCAGTTCAGGTAAGAGCATTATAATTCAAATAACATTAAAATAATCTATTTTTCTTTCTAGAATACCAAAGGAGAAAAATAAAAACATACCAATTTAGTTTACATCAACATTACTAAAAAGAAAACTTCAGCTGTTATCCTTGATGCTCAACAAGTACCCATAGATTTTTTTTTTCTTTTTCTTCCTTTTTTTTTTTTTTCTCCTTTTTTTTCCCCCCCCAGGAATTAAATATCATGTAATAACTTCTGATTTGAGGTTTATGATAGTGGTATCAGAAATATGTAAGATGTAAGAAAATAGCTGAATTATAATCCTATTTAGTTGAAAAGTATGCATATCAATAATGGGTTTAATCATCAAACATAGATAATATAATTGATAAGGATATAGAGCTTGTGATGCTTTTACTAGATTTATGTTCTTTTTTTAATCAAAGAACTGCTCAACTTCCTTTATTTGAGTAAGAGGGTGCTTTTAAGTTATTTTAAACAATTAAAATCACATTTGTTCTCATTTATCTGGAAATATCAGAGCTTCTATTAATCATGACTT